AAGACGATATTTAAGCATACATGAAATTTGAATTTAAGTAGATTTACATAGTCACAATTAAGTTTCATTATAAATGATGCATAAAACATGTTGATTAAGTCCAATTGGATTCGGATAGTATTTGAATCTTCGATTATGTGCAAAAATGTTTTTGGTCGCATCCCAACATAAACACTCTAACGATCAAGTCAAATATATGATCAAAGATATTTTGTAAATGACTTCCTAGAAGTGAACTTGAATCCATATTTATAAGAGATTAGTTTCGTTCCTAAAAGGGGCTTCCTTATTCGTGTAGGACTCCAGCCCAACTATAATCGGTAACACACACACTTACACACACCTAAAAGGAAGTGCTAAATGTGTTTTCTGTCATTGATTTCATAGTTGTTTATCAATAAGATGTGTTTTCTGGTCTTGTTTTCCAATGAACAACGAGATCGAGTGATCGACAAATGTTACGCCTTCTATATAAAGTGGCAGCTCTAACAAATTAGTACCCTCTAAATTTTCCACTGAAGTAGTGCAAAATTACACGAAAGTTGCGGTAACAATCGAATATGCCCAAACATGGAAAAGAAGCAAAACCGTCTTCTGAAAGATGACGAAACCTGTAACTTGTTACTACTACTAACATGACGACGTAACGATTTTACACCAATGACCAAAATCAGCTACTGTATTATCTACACAAAATCTGAACAAACTTTCTCGATATGATGCTGATCATTCATCACGATTAACCAAGCAGATATTACATTTATGGAACTACCTCCACACAGTTTCATTTGCATCCGTGAAAACCGCATTGTGATGCTCAACCAAACACTGAATAACTTCAATAGCACGAAAATCGACTGGCACACCATCGTCAAGGGGGATAGATGATGATGCAGCATCTTGAGCTTCACCATCTACACAAACGCCGAAAATTAGACCATAAATTAAGCAATATATGAATTGATGGTACCATAAAAGGATAAAGAAATGCAAAACTGAAGTTAACAGTAGATTGTAGATACTGCTTCGAAATGCAACAATTTCAAATTTTAATTTTCTCTTTTATGCTACAATTAATTCACTTCCTCTTGAAGCAAAAAATTTTGCAAATCACTCGCTCGATGAAAACCAACTTCATTACGATACAAATAGTTTGTCTCTATTAAGAATATTGGTTCATGGCAGAACATGGCAGAAGAACTAATATCCACCAGACTGGATAAAAAACAAGTTGCTGACTTCAAATCCATAGCAATTCAAAACAAAAATATGAAAGAAGCATATATAGAATGGATTGCAAGGTCACCTGAAAGCAAATCCCATTCGCTTTGGCTGGAGACAGAATTTTCATTTCTCTTGGAATCGAGTTTTGATGATTGAGTCCAATACTGTATATAGTGCTCTGGCCTCTGACCTTCCAGCCACATTATCAAAGGGGCCATTTCCATTGCCAGGCTCCGAGAATCCATCTGTAAATGTTTGCAACATCGGAGTCATTCTTATCTAACCAGATACCAAATGATGCATGCTATATTCAACTAATTCGTATGACTCTTCATGAAACAGCAAAAGTTATTTCATCTATGTAAAACAACTTAGACAGTTAAAAAATGATGGGCTTTGATCACTATTTTCCCCCTCTGTATTGGACAACAGTGATACACAAAGCTAAAGAACAAAGAAATGCCTATATCTTAATTGTAACAAAAAATAGATTCGACCAACCTTGTTAAGAGAAGATTTATGGCTAACACGAAGGAGTAATGCAGTGACTAATTCAAGAGTCATATAGTTCACAGTTGGCAGCTTCTTGAGAGTGTTTCTCATTAAGTGTATGCTTGAACGAGCATTTCTGATATCATTGTGCAGCTGAAAGGTGGTCAATGGCTCAGGGAGGCTTGCAATATAACACTTGATAAGAGCTGCAACATCAACTGGGCGTACACCCTCCGGTAGTAATGCGTTTGGGTCTGAATAAGATGACAATATTATGAAATAGACAAACAAGCTGACGGAAAATTGTAAGTATCACGATTAAATAAACAAATATTCAAATACCCTGGTTATACAAGGATACTAAATGCTGAATAACTTTTTTGTTGCCTTGGGCTTTGAACAGCTCCGGGGTGTTTAGTCCTAGTCATGGAGGAAACAGTTGCTCTCTCAGCAAGGATACTCAACGATAATACATATATTATATATCTATGCTTGTGTGTGAAATAAACACTTAGGTAATTCGCAAGTTTCAGACTTAAAGTCACCTGATAATATTAGGAAATCTGCACATTTCATCAATACATTTGGAATAGGCGTACTGGACTGTTGGCGCTGGACAGCAAGCTCAATTGGTGTGCCAAACACTAAATGGAAGAAAGAAAAGGATATGGTGTGTAATTAAATCAGACAAGACAATTGCATAAGACCACGTACTCATTTAGATAGTTTAATTCATATGCATGCACATGTTCTTTTTTGTGTAACAACATGAGAGAAAGTAAATAATTTTAATTTTGGATTCGTCATAAGAAAATGTAATCAGCTGAAAATCTCACAAAGAAAAAAAAACATTTAGACAAGCAAAATATATGAAGCAACTTTTAATTTGTTCTCATGATTGACCCACTGATGTTATATATTGACGCAGAAATTATCCAATTGATCTGTTGGATACCAATCATTTAATCTGACAACCAAAAGAATGAAAGGCATACCATCTGTACTTGCAACTCCCTGCAGAGATTGACAAAGGGAAATAATTAGAAATCTTCACTTGCATTATATGAGTAAAAAAAAAAAAGAAATTTCGCCGAGCTCAAGCACCTTCTGCCATCGCTCAATGTCAGTAAGGAGAACCTTGCTTTTTTCGGCAGTCTTCTTCGCCACCTGTATCTCTCAAGAAAGGAATGGAAAATGAAATTACAGAAAGACGTTAGTTTGACCACAATAACATCGCAATCAATCACCACATTCAATGTAAGAAAAGGAATAAAATATACCAAAACAACAAATTTCATCAAACTCAGTTCATAACTATCCAATTTACAACCCATTTCTCCAACTGGAAAACGTCTGCCCATGGGCATTCACATTAATTATAAAAAGATAGCCATGATTTCACAAAATCTCTAATAGATAAGTTGTCTTGTAACATTTCATAATTCTTTCTTCCGATAAAACCCACAAATAAGAAATTTAATTTCATTATTTACAAAAGAATCAAAAGCATATCTAAACTTGATCATGCTTATTCAGTGGATGGCAACCGAGGCAGAAAGGAGGGATGAAGATGCTAAGAAACAATTCAGTGTACAACATTGAACCCATCACAATGATTTCTATATAAATATCTCATCTAGAGACTAATCACTATCAAGCAACGGTATCTATTGAGATAATCATATAATTGGATAATAAGCATTTGGCTGAAAAGAAAAAAAGCATCCAGTGAAAAACAAGCTAGTCATCAATGGAAGTCATAACTGGACGGACATCCAATGTCAATTGTCAAGAAGCTCGTTTTCAAATTTACCTCCTCCACTTTTGTCTTACCGACAACCATTTTCTCTTTTGTCTCCGAAAACCCCTTTCTCAAAAACATGCTTGTCGTAGCAGCTGCAGAAATAAGGCGCTCTTGCATGGCATGCCTGGTAGATGGTTGCTGGAAGATAGCCCACCGGGTTTTGACAGCTGACCCGACTTTCCCTGCCACATCAGTAACGTTGTCCTTTGCATCCTTTGCAACCTCCCCAACAAATGTTCCAGCAGAGTGTCCTGCCTCTTTGAGCTTGACCCCTAGTTTTCAACATTCAGGCATGACCCACTCGTCGTACGAACATACATACCAGGAAAATACTAGTCGCTAAAACTAGCTAAAAGATATACAAATAAGGACCAATAAACGCTATACGGAATTAAGAGACGTACCCGAGGATTGAAAAAAATCATTAGCTTTCTCTTGCCACAAGGGAGAAACCGCTGAAGGCATTTGAAGTATCCAAAAATACAACTTCCACAGGGAAAACAAAACTAGCCGAGTCTGTTCAATTCGGTCACACAAAACCAAAAAAGGATGTGTCATTAACTCAGTCGAGCACCACACTAAGGCAAATTTCAAAGCGGATTATCCTCACCATCATGATTTACCATTCAATTCCTATAAATAAATTCAACTGAACAGCATAACTGTTGAGTTTTGTCATCCGCGAACTATAAATCGTTGGAGCAGCAGAATTTTCTCAATCACAAGTAATCAACTGTCGAAAACTAATCAACAGCAACAGCGAACTTTTCAACCCAGCAACTCATCGCCATGATTCCACAGGAAAGATACTTAAAACAAAAAACGAATTACCAGTTCCAAACCACTAATGGTTTTGACCGATCATACAAGGATACCAGTATTAAAATCCGAACAAGGTGAATCCAAACAACAGGCCATTAATGTTCACAAGCAAGGATTCATCATTATAAAACAAGAAATCAAGAAAAATCACCTCTGTTTCGTTTTCTCCGCCTCTGAATCCCCTTGAAATCAAACAAAACAAGATCGTCAAGATCGATGGATAAGTGCAAAAACCCTAATTAAAGAATCAAGCTCTTTCTAACCTTTTACTGTTCGTCGGGCAAATGATCAGAAAAATCAAAGAACGATCGACGGCGGAAAATGTGACAGTGGTAGAGAATAGAATCAGGCTCAGCTTGCGATATACGTCGGGAGAGAGAAAAGAAAAAAAGAAAAAATATCTTTCTTTTCCGTTTTCTCGACCAATGGGAGCACACCACGTGGTTAGTCCACCGTGGACCACTGTGGCAGGCTAGCACACCCCCTCCTTCTAGATGCTTCACGACATAACGGTCTGTTCGTCTCTATGGCGCTCCTCCTGATTTCAATTTCACCATATCAAACAGTAATTAATTAATATCTGGGAAAAATATTACTATTTGCGACCTATACTTTCATCCTTTTAACATTTTGCAACCAAAACTTAAATTTATAGCAAATAGGACCCCGTACTATTTGAAAATTCATAGTTTACTACTCCTACAATTAAAAAATAAAAAGAACATCATAGTTTACAATCTTCAATCACTTTGAAACATGAAAAGATGTGGGAATACACAAAAAATAAGAAAATAAAAGACCTATATCCATGTATATTGGAGAAATAAGCTCTACTCATGGAAACAGAGTAAAAAAATTTAAGAACACAAATCCATTAATATATTTGAGCAAGGAATAAAATAATGTACTGTATCGACCAGTAATACCGATTCCCGACCAATAGTCTTGTATAAATACATATAGAAAACATCGGTTTAATGAAGTATTAAAGTGTACCTGAGTTGTACAATACATACTGAAAAGTACTGGTCATTAATTCAAAGTATTAAGCAATAAATTTTCTTGAAAAAAAAAAACATTAACCCTTAACTTGTGAATTTAAAACTTGAATTGAAAGTCTTAATTTATACCTTATTCAATTTTAATATATATATATATATATATATATATATATATATATATCATGTTATATTTACTACTTTGGTAATACCGTAAGTATTATTGATCCCATCGGTAATAACATGCATCGATAGAGCCTATGTCAATAATTCTATCAATTTGTTTGAAAATGAAAAGATGGGCTACAAATATATCTATTAAATTAAATTTATATAAGTTTGTTTAAAATAATACACTTTTTGAATTTGACCTTAAAAATGTGAGAGGGGCTAAAAATGAATCTATCAAATTTATTTTTATATAATTGAATAGTTGCATGACAACATGTAATTTACCCTTAAATCAATTACACATTATTATAGTTTTTCAAATAATATAAATTGTTATTTGCTACGAGATTTAGATTATTTTTGGCAAAATTAGCCGATAAGCTAGCTGATAGTTGATAAACTAGCTTATAATTTATCAATAATTTTTTAGCTTATAGCTTATAGTTTATGACTTATAGCTGATAAGCTAGCTTACATGATAAAAATGTTTAGTAGAATTAGCTGATAAGTTAGCTGGAATAAAAAATTCAACTAGTCTATTTGAAAAGCTACCTAAGGAATCTTATCAAATAAGCTCGAGCTTTTTAAAAAATTTCATCCTACCAAACGAGGCTATATTTGAATACATGAAACTTATAAGTTAACCAAATAAATTATAAACTAGTTTATTTGCCTACCAAATATAATCTTACTTAAGTTGCGATTTTTTAAGTAGTATGGGTTGTCATTTATTAAAAAATTTAGTTTAGGTTGCACAGTGTAAAACTAATAAAAGTATTTTCCTCTTCATATCTGTAACAAGTTAGTGTCCTTTTATACTTGTTTTATAGCAAATAATAAGTTATTCTTTAATTATTTTACTCGACACATAAAAAAATAAACTCGTCATAATTTTTTAATTAATAATGGAATCTTTTAGTGAACTTTTCCCATTAATTATTGAAAAATTAAACAGAAAAGTTGTCCTTTTTTTATTAAAAACAATTGTTGCAGCAAAATATTTGTTATGAGAGAGAACACTTACATAGTACAGGAAACACCGGCCGGGTGGGCCAACATGTTGGTTTCATGGATCTTGAATGGGCACGAACAGTGCTGGGCCCAGGCCTGGGCCCGTCCAAAAGAAAAAAAGTTAAAAACAATGTGTTTTTCTGGTGTCGAACCCGGCCCACCGGACCATGGTCGACGAAAACAAGATCCTGGATTGGTCCGGTTGAATTCCGAGCCGAGTCCAGACCCGTGTTCAACGGGTTTGACTGGGCCGGGCCGGGTGGCTCGTGGTCACGTCTTTGGTAATACCGTCGTATTATTGCCCAGGAAAAATTATGATTCATAGTTAATCATAATCACATTAATACATATATAATGCTACCAAATAAAAATTCTTTTGAATCAAGCAACACGGTCAAGAATAATCCCCCAATGGCCAACCAACCCAAGCATAGAAAAAAATTAGAAACCTATCTAGAAGAAGACGACAGCAAGGGTTCCTCTTCAACTCCGCCGCCGCCCTCCTCCTCCGCCCACTCCCGATCTCCGTCCACGTACCTCCTCCAGAATTCGTGCTCCCGCCATACCCTCCCCATCTTCTCTATCGGCACACCTTTCGTCTCCGGCAGTAAAAAGTACACGAACCCCGTCATCACCACCACCCACCCGGCAAAGAACATGAACGCCCCCCACTTGAAGGCGCAAAGTAGCGCCAGGTACACCTGCCCGATCAAAAAGCTGAAGAAGAAGCTAACCGCCACCGTCACGCTCTGCCCCGCCGACCGCACCTCCAAAGGAAACACCTCGCTCGTCACCAGCCACCCGAGCGGGCCCCACGAGAACCCGAACGCCATCACGTACACGCATATCAAAACCACAACCGCCACATTGTACCCGGGGCTCAACGCCCCATGGTCACCGAGCTTCGCGCCCATGATTCCCCCGACCATCACCTGTGTGGCGAACATGAGTAAACCCCCTAGCATGAAAATCGGGCGACGACCCGATCGGTCCACAAAAAGGGACGAGATGAAAGTCGACAGTATCCCAAGCGAGCTTGTGATGAGGGACGAGACGAGTGCCCCGGATTCGTCGGACCCGATCGTTCGGAAAAGAATCGGCGCGTAGAACGAGATGACCGTAATCCCCGTCATCTGCTGGAAAAACGGGATGGCCACCGACATCACCAAGTACGGGCGGTAAGCTCGCGTTAGGAATTTTCCGAACGGATTTTTGCTTTGAGCCGCCGAGGCGCGGTCGGCGGCTATGAGGTCGTCGAGCTCGGCCTCGACATTGCTCGTGCCTCGGATTTTTTGGAGGAGGTGTTTGGTGGCCTCCGTGTCGCGGCCTTGCTGGATGAGGCTGTTGGGGGTCTCGGGAAGGAAGAGTGTGCCGAGGATGAGGATGGCGGCAGGGACTATGGCGGCGGCTAGGGAGATTCGCCAGCCGAGGTCTGTGCTGATCTTTGACGTGCCGTAGTTGAGGAGGGAAGCAGATGTGCTCCCGATGGCGAGGGAGCATTGGAAGCCGAAGCTGAAGGCGCCTCTATATTTCGGAGGGGACATTTCCGAGAGATACAAGGGGACCGACTGCAAAGGATTTTTTCCAAGTTTTTCGTAGTGTGAGTGTTGAAGACTAAGCACTAATATAAGAGCCGATTTTCCGGCTCTATTCGCCGGGCATCCATAAACTCAGAAACAGAAAAGACATATATAAATATGGATACTCGCTCTCGCAAGATTAACTAACCTGGTTCGCAAAGCCGACTCCGACTCCGAGAAGAAGACGGCCTAATATCAACATGTAAATGTTTCCAGCGGCACCTCCAATGACACCACCAAACAGAAACGCGACCCCACCTACTATGGTGGACCTCTTGCGCCCGAAGTCCCTCGTGACCCGTGACGCAAAAAAAGAGGCTATAAGGCCCGATATATAGATCGACGATGAGAAGGCCGTCAAAAGCTGGCTATCGAATTTGCAGTAGTTGCTCGTCTCTGTCTCCTCGCTCGTGTTATCGTAAACGCCGGGAAAGAACTTCTTCACGAATGGCTCCATCGAGGTCACTCCACCTTCACCGGAACACAAACATAAACGAATTATCAAAACAAATTCTGCACATAAGCAAGAAGAAACTCCCACTCCCCAAACAAGTGATTATTTCAGTAGAACAACACAGAATCTTAAGTACGATTCCTCTGTCTAACGTTAATCTAGAGCTGAGATCTGATCACATAATCTCCTAATCTAACAAAATTAAAAAAAAAAAAAAAAAAAATACCAGTAACTCCAGTGTCATAGCCTAGGAGAAGTCCACCAGTGGCTGCAGTGAGACAAGAAAGCAGCACCATTGTTGTAATCTCGCCATTATACTCTGCCGTTTGAGCTCCGTTAGTGGCTACGCCGATTGCCATTTTCGGTTAAAAAAATGCATGAAGAAGGTACAGATTTGTTCGGCCTTATTAGAGATTTTTTTATATATTCATTTTTGGATATAAATTGGAATTATGAAAATATTAAAATTATTCTTTAAAATAGCAATACACAGTAATTATCATATAGATATAGATGTGTGGACCGTGTGTGTGGTTGATGGAAACGCACACGGCACAAGCACAATTGGTTGGTGGGGTATTCCTATTTGGTTCAATTTGAATTTTATTTAAGATTGTTTTTTTCAATTATCTATTGAAAAATGTTAGTGAAAGTACTTATCATTATTTAATATAAAGTGATTATTAGTAAAAGTATTTATCATTATTTAATATAAAGTGATGTGTTATAATAATAACTAATCAATGTGATGTGAGAGTAAAATAACGATTGATGGTATAAATTTGTGAATTTATAAATTTGATGGATTTTTTGTTAGGAGGTTGTATTGAAATATATAATTGGAAAAAAAAAAAACAATAGATGGATAGTGTAGTTTTCATTATTGACTAAACAAAATTTCTATCGAGTCATTCGATGATTTTTTTTAAAGATGTATTGACCTGTCTAAGTGTATTTATTATAGGACAGGTGTCAATACACTATTTCTGAATAATTGTGGATGACTTCATAAGTTGATTGGCTGAAATAAGAGAGAGAAAAATATACCTAACCCCTCCCTAATTTTCGTACTTGTTAGTAATTCTCACATGAAAATAATAGGTGAGAATTCACTCTCTTTAAAAAAAGAAAAAAAAAAAAATGACCATTTATAATTTATATAGTTCGTCGTAAAGTAAATTCGAAAAGCAGCGATAATTATTCGTAGGTTTGGTTTTTGACTATGACTTTAACCCCTAGTTTGACTTTAACTTCGTATTAATAAAATTATTTAATTTTTAATTTGTTTGGTTCAAACGGTTGGCATAATCTATAAATATATAATCTATCTATATATATATAAAAAAAGATTTACCATTTTTAAAAAATAGTAGGTCAAATTTTGGTCAAAATCATGCATTAATTACATTCCATTTTTAGTAACTTTTTTTTTTTCATTTAATAATAAAAGTAGCATTAAATGCTACCCATTAATTAAGAATTTTGTTATTTTGGTTTTCAACAAAACACTAGTACAAAGCCCGTGCGATGCACGGGGTACACACTTTTAAGGCCATTTATTCATTCTTATAATTATATAAATGAATAAAAAAAATGTACGGGATATATATAGTACGCGACCTGTAATAGGCCAAAATGTGAACACGAGTGATGCAAGGAGTGCACAATTTTAAGGTCATTTATTAGTACAGAGCCCGTAAGATACACAGGGTGCACAATTTTCTAGTATGTGTAATAAAAATACATACCGTATGCACGGGACAAAATCACTAAATGAGTCATTTCCACAGAACTTGTCCGTTAAGTAGCTTCTAAACACGGGTGCAGAATTTGTAGTACGTACCATAAAATCAGAACAGATTTCTATACAATTAGATAATAAATTAGATAATAAATAAAGCCTTTTTATTTTAGTAAAGATTTTACGTACTTTATTTTTTTACTTATCGGATGTTATGGTATTTTTTTTGTTAAACTGATTTTGTAGAATATAATACAAATACAATTAGAGGATTGAACAAAATCAGAACAGATTTTCATACAATTAGATAATAAAAATGAATTAGATAAGGAAAAGAATGACATAGATAAGAAAATGAAGGAATTATATAAGGAATTTTGAATCTGACTTTTTTTTTGGATAGATAGACTTTACATACAAATTTTGAATTCACTGATTTTATGGGATTTATTTTGACAAAATCAATGTTAATATGGAATAAGACAAATAAATAAAGTCTTTTTATTTTAGTAAAGATTTTACGTCTTTTTTTTACTTGTCATATGTTATGGGATTTTTTTTTTTATTAAACTGATTTTATGGGATATAAGACAAATAAATAAAATAATTAAATAAAATTCTGGATAAAAATAGCAATGCATTAATTACGTTGACTTTTCAATCTACTAAATTTGGTAAATAGGATGCCTTATATAATAAATATAGATACAAATAAATAACATGCCAAAATTTTAAAGAATAATTAATGTATTTTAATTTATTATCTAGCCATCAGTAATATCATTTAATGATGTGATCATTATCTCTTAAATGATAAATAAAATATTAATTTAAAAAAATATTTGTTTTTTATATAATCGAATAAAAATTAAAAAATACTATCGACAAATATGAATTATAATATATATCAGTAAAATCATTGCAGAAGTTAATAAAATTATTTAAGGAAAGAATCTCTTTGATCATATTTGAATGGGAAATGTATATATGCAAGCAATTAATGCATATAGTAAAAAATTTCTAAATAAAGTATGCATTAAATGTGAGTTGATTTTTTTGCTACTATTTTTGGTAAATAGTATGGCTTTTAATATAAGTATAGATTGCTTATTATTTGGGGCTGATGTTTTATTTTTAAAAATAATGTTTAATAAAGGAAATAACTATATATTATCCTAAATTGCTGGATAATTAAATTGTCTTGTTTTGCGTCTTTACTTGTTTAATAAATTAATTAGTGCTGATTTAATACTCAACTGGTCAAACCTTCTTTTTTTCAAATTAAAAATAAATATGTATAACCGATAAAAAAAGAATTAAATATGTATAGATAATATATTAATTACTTTACAAGCTAGCCCTAATATACAAGTGAAAAATATATGATAACCCTATTGATTTTTAGACTTAAACGAACAGAGTCGTCTGAAAATAATTAATTTAATATTTATGTCCCGTGCATTGCACGGGGTACGTACTAGTTTAGAACAACAACATTTAATTTTATTATAAGCAACATTAAATCATATTATTTTATTTTCCCGTCTAAAACAATTACAAAACACCAAATTTAATATGTATTTTTTTTTTTTTTGTTTTCAACTCTACATAATGTAACATTTTCTTTGACTTTTTCTAAAAATCTCTATTTGTAACGGAAATGTATGACTATCATGCAAAAATTATTATTTTAATTTTTTCGCTTTTTTTTCTCTAATCATCTCAACATGTAACAGATATGTCTGGCAAACTGGCATAAATCATGCAGAATTTCTTAGGCTGGCAGGTTTGGCATAAACAATATGCAGAAATCAAGAACATTATTATTTTCCACTTATATTTTTAATCATTTTATAATGTACTAATGTATCATATATTAATATTGTATATTTTAGATTCATAAAAATAACATACAAGAAAATAATTTTTAAGATTACAAAATCAAAATGAAACACACATAAGAATATCCAGTCAATTTTTCATACATGTACCTGCAAAAAAAAAAAAAAAAA